AAGACAAGCATGCCCTCAGTTCATTTTCCCATGCTAACAGAGTCGCTTTTTTTCTGTGGCAAACACACCTTCCAGACAGGGAGTTGCTTTCGGACTTTAGTGGTTCACTCCCTTCCTGTTTGAGACCAATTACGTCTCATTTGCAATACCATTAGTCAAGGAAGTGGCTATCCTGAGGTCACTTCTTAGCCCACCCTTCCTAAATGGCACTGGTAGGCCTTTCTTCCAAGCCACTGGCCATGAGGTTGGGTCCTCTTTGTGGTTCAGTCTCTTCTAAATGTACAAGCAATGTAAATCTTTCAGGACTGGCCACAACTGGTGCATGCTGAAATTCTCCAAAATAATTTGAAAGCTGTGGTTTGAAAAATGATGCTGGCTATTTATTAAAACAGCAAGCATGATCAGACCAAGCCAACTTGCTGGTTTAACAGATGGAAGCTTGTTAAAAATCTTTATTCCAATACGTTAAGAATTCAGTTTTGCTACAAATTGTGAAGTATGACTTGTGAGTCAAGCCCCAGTGGAAAGGATGCCTCATACTTTGAAACTCTCAGCTTTACATTCAAGACCTAACACTTGCCACTTTATAATGCTTTGATTTGTTTGTTGTTGTTTTCCTGTGCTTCCTTTCTTTTTTTTTTTTCCTTTTTTTTTTTTTTTTTGAGGGGGGGGAGGATCAACTATTCCCATCATTTAATAGCTACCTCACATTTCCTGTTTTTCCTTTCAACTAGGACAGATACTCTGATACTTTGCATTTTGTCAGTTGAGGAGAGCATGATGGTTACTATTATTTCTTAAATTCTTTAAGCTCTGGTCTACCATTTCTACCATGCAGATAACACTGCTTTTTACACATGAAGCACAGAGACTTCTAAGTGTTTTCTCAGGGTCACAGTGTGTGTGACTAGGAGAGAAATCGTTTTGTCTTACAATTTGAAAAAAACCTGCCTTTCTCTCATTTTTGTTTCCCTCACTAGAAAGAAGCAAATTGGAAAAAAAAAAAAAAAAAAAAAGAATAAAGAAATCAGTAGTGAGAAAAAAAATCAGTAGTGAGCTGAGAGAGATCTTTTGCAATTCTAGATGTTTGGTTTCTCTATGGAGGCAGCCTGAAGTGTGCCCTACCATACATGCGTTCCTGGAAAACTTCAGGCTCCTAGTGCTTCTGACACAGGCTGTGGGAATTCAGCAGCAGCTTTCTGACCTCAGAGAATCCCCTGCAGGTAGCTCACACACTTAGCCACATACCTCATTCATCCACTCAAATATTCATCATATTTTAATTCAATTGATACTTGCATAATACTTTTCTCTGTTGTTATCATGAGACTTTTTCTCTTTCTTATAAGGAGGATGGTGTAAGTATTAACCAGGCACCTCTGAATACATCATATATGAGTAAAAAAATCTTAAAATAAGTTTGTGTGCATTCATGAAGAGATTAATTTTCAATCAGAAAACCTAAAAGCAGGAACTCTATATGATTGTTTTTTCACACCTGCAACTCCAAGCTGAGTAAAATTACCTTTCAGTGAAGCAAGTGAAACAACAAAGACTGCAATACACACAGCACCTCACAGTGAGGCCCTACCACTTAACTTCTAAGAAATAATGTCAATGTAAATCATGATGTGATGAATGCTTCACTGAAATGATTCATGCCATATGGTCTGAAGAGCAAAATGGGCACAGTTTATTTTTAAAAGAATGAGAAATACGAACTTGGAATATTCGTTGCTTTGTCCTGCCAGGCTGAACATTTGCTGCAGCAGGGGCCAGACCTACTGCAGGTCTGTCTTTTTTTGCTCACTTAATAGCATATGTTGCAGTAGTTTGAGGCTTTAGTCTCATTCAAAGTGGAATAATGTCTACAAAACTATGACCAGTACTCAGAAGAAATCTTCTGTAAACAGATGTTCACTGTGCACCCAGAGATTAAATTGTCTTCTCACTATCTCTTAAAAAAATCTATGAGAACTTCACAAGCAAACAGTCCTCACAGGGTAATGACTATCTTGGTAGTGAGAAGTTAATTAAATTCAGTCCCCTGACAGAGGCAAAAGGTGCTGGTGATTCCACAAGTCACTCATCTTTCCCTTTTGTGAGGCTACTGATGGTCAACACTTTTCTTGATATTCTGTCATATATCAGTATATTCAACGTGAGATTCCATTTAAGCAAAACAAAACATTACATACAGGTAAGTTTATGTTAGGGGAAAACATTTATTATGTGGTATATCCAATTCCTTCTCTATGCCTGTGATCCCCTCTAGTGGTACTACAAGTACTACAAGTTACTTGTCCCTCTTCTGTATTAAAATAGAGACCGTCTCCTCCTCATTTGAATTCGAGAAATCTGTTTTTTAATCCTGTGCCTCATTTTAGAAGGACAGAGCAACTGAATCTTTCCAAACATGCAGCTGGCATATCTGTGAACAGTTTCGCTCTCTTTACTAGAAAGAGAAAGAGATATGTTGTGCGTATAATGCACAAGCGAGAATGTTTTCTCACATCACAAGCCAGGAGGTGACTGTCCTGCTGCAGCAGGAAGCAGAGCCCTTTCTCCCCACCCTGCCCATTGGGCTGCATGAGAATGCCTGGTGCCCATTTGTGAGTCTGGAAGTAGGAGTACTCCTCAAGCAATTTTGAATAGTGTAACAACAGTTTGTCATAGTCGTACAAGTAGTTTAATAAGTAGTTGAGATTTACCTTAGATTAACTTCAGTAGAAAAATATTATTATTATTATTATTATTATTATTATTAAGTAAGAATACAGACACCTTGTAATTGTAGAGATTTAACATGAATTGGCAGAAGACCTAGCCCCAGATTCCTGTCTTCACCTTGCTTTCAACTCAGGGTACTTTCCAGTATATTTAAGAGAGGTGTAGACAGCTGCAGCTGCACACTCCATTAAGATGCCATTTCATATCAGTTTACAGGGATTCAAGTCAGTGCTGATCAGTCCTGACTACATTTCCTAACCCAGTCTGTGCATTTCTGCCCCGTCCTCGTGCTAGCACTGAGGCATACCTGACTGCCAAGTGAGATTGCTAACTGCTAGACTAATAAAAAATAAATCCTGACAAAAAAATAGTTCCGGTTTCAAATATTTAGGTCTCTGACGACAGAGCTGACAGCAGGGAAGCCACATACACCTTTCACGTGAAGGTAGGTAAGAGCTGTATGCTGGGGCCTCCACCCTTGTTGTTTGTGTTTTACATGGTGCATACAGTAAAGGCAAAATCAATTCTCTTGAGAATAAGAGGCTACAAAATATTATTTAGCCAGCTTTATCATGATTTCTTTTTTTTTTCACTCACCAGGGACAGGAGACAGAAGAATGGACATGGAGAAAGGTGTGGACTGTATGAATGGCAAAGTTGTAAGAAGGTGTTGGGCAACATTACACGTGCAATATTATCAAATGACAGTAGGAGAAATTTTGTGTATTTTATTTATATTATTATATATTAATTACATTATATTAATATAATTATATTATATTATTATGTTATGTTATGTTATGTTATGTTATGTTATTTTATGTTTATTTTATTTTATGTTTATTTTATTTTATGTTTATTTTATTTTATTTTGTGTATTAGGAGAAGTTTTATGTATTGTTCGGTAACATAGGAAACCACACTTATGACGTTACAAAACATACAGAGAAACCCAGAGAATAATGCTGCCACCTACTTGTATCATGAAGTACTTCTTACATTACCAGATTACTTTCTAGTTTTGATATTGTTATTTGATAGTTTCACTTTCAGTTGTTCCCAGTCCTTTTTCTTAGCGTGAACTGCTGGGTGATACAAAAATATCAGGAAAGAATGAGAAAGAAGACTTTCTGCATATTTTGCTTTCTCACTCTGTTAACTAGGCATTCATTTAAATCCAAAATAGGGGTAGAATTCTGCTACAGTGGCAAAAGCCTGGTGTTTCAGGACCTTAAAATGCACAGACAAGAAAACTTGATTGAAATGTTATTTTTCAGCAGACTGGAGAAGACATTACTGCAGGCCTACAAGACTTCAGCAAAAAAGTTTTCTGACTAAAACAGAGCTTTCAATAGGGGACACTGTTATACTAATTACACCACCCTTGAATAAAATTCACAGTATTTTCCCATTCAAGTTGCTGCAGGAATATCCTGGTTCTGTTTCAAACAGCAAGCACAAATGGAAGAAATAAAGATTAAAATCCTTTTGGGGTTGGATCCATTTCTCAAGTGGGAGAAAAAAAGGATAAGGAAACTCCCTGTGACCTTTTCTTCTTGTAAAGTAGGCAATGCTCAAACTTCCAGCCTATTTCATATTGTCCATGGCTTTCATCATTCTCCTTAAAGCTATCCTGAAATCTTATCTATTCCATTAATACTAACACTACTCAGTACAAGCTTCTCATTGCCAGATGATGCAGGAACGTTTGAGTCTACCAAAATGTGGTCCTAAATAATGTTGTTTTAGCAGGAGTAAGAGATCTTATTTTCAGATTCTCCACTCTCAGAGACATGCTCTTGGGTTAGGATAAACCCTGCTGAAACAAAACTGCTCTTAAAGCTCTATTGTTGGAGAGAGAGGCAGATGAGAGCTGTGAAAGAGGCTGCAGAGCTACTGGCACTGATGTACATCATATGGTTGACATAAGCCTGCCTGACTTTAGCATGCTCTCTTTTCCACTGACTGTCATAAACATTTTTTTATTTTTTTTTTTACTTTCTAGATTTCTGTCCATATGTGTGGGAGGGTCTCATGGCTGTTCAAAATAGTTGCTTCCAAAATTACGGCAATTTCACTCGTTGGGAATGAGAGAACACCTTTATATGCCTTCAGCACAGGGTTAGCTGTGAGTTTCTGAAGGTACATGTAAAACATTAAAAAAAAAAAAAAAAAAAGAAAAAGTCAGATTTTTCCTTCATCTAATAGAAAAGATAGGAGCGCATGGCTGAGGTGGGGGTGGGTGAAATGAGTATCTTTGGACGGCTGATGTGGCAGTAGCGTTTTAGAGGGAATGCAGTGATGCTTCAGCAGAAGTGGCTGAGCGAGCCTATGGAATAGCTTGCAGCCAAGCAGAAAAAGAGAGAAAAAAAAAAAAGATGTTTTTTGGTTTATTTCTCTCTCTCAACATCGCTGAAAAGGGATCTCAGGAGACCCGAGTCAGGACAACGCGACCCGCAGGCAGCGGAGGCCCGGCGTGCCCGCGGGCCGGGCCAGGCCGAGGGGGGCCGGGGCAGCCCGACCAGCCGGCAGGGCCCCCCCGCGGGGCTCACAGCGGCCGGGGGCAGCCGGGGGCCCCCTGCTGGGCCCGGTGCCCGCGGCCGGCGGAACGCAGCGGCGGGCGCAGGTTGCGGCGGGCCGCTTTGAGGCGGGCACAGCGCGGCGCGGCGCGGCGGGCCGCCGGGGCGGCATGAGGGAGCTGGCGGCCGGCCTGAGGATGGAGGGCGACATCTTGGACGCGTTGGAGGCTCTGGGGTGAGCCGGGGGGCGGTCGGGCCTCGGCGGGCGAAGGGAGGCTCCTGGCGGCCGCGCGGCCCGGGCCGGCCCTGCTCGGGCGGGGAGCGGCTGGGGACGGAGCGGGGGCCGGGGCCGGGCCGGGGTCTTGTCGCCCGCGCTGGGGCTGCCCCGAGGGGGGATCTGGTCGCTGCCTGGGGCTGGGAGGTGCCCCGGGTCGCGGGGGTGGTGGGTGGCTTTCCGTTTCGTACGGATAAAACGTGTTTTCTTTGTTCGGGGTGGAGAATAGCGGGTGCAGCAAGTAAAAATACTGTAACATGCAGTTCAGTTATCAGTTACCTCTTAGTATTGGGGATCTCGGGCAGCGAGTTAAAAGCGTTGGAAGGAGAATTGCTTGACTGAGCACTTGAATTAATGCTGGATTTAGTGTGTTTAGCATGTATTGAAACATGGGACTCTGTTCTCATATACCTGTCATGCGTGAAGATGCCTCTCTCATATTTTCTGACAAACCGTTTTGTTTATAAATTACCTCTCTTTTTTGGCATGTTTAAAAAAGTCTGAATTATTCATTCACAAAAGTAATTCACAAGTATTCATCTCAGTGTAGTTCCTAACCAGCTTATGTTAAAATTACTTAGAAGTATGCACATTTTATGTTAAACCCACTTCTTATTGCAAATGTTTATCTCTCTGCACAGGTACACAGGTCCCCTTTTGGAGGAGGAAGCCCTGAAAAAAGCAGTGGAAAATGGATTGTCTTCACCAGAGTTTTTTGACCTCTGTGTTTGGTTAGGGTCCCAAATAAAGCCACTTTGTAACATGGAAGAAAGTATCACGCCAACAGATGGTAAATGGATGTTAATTTGTTGAAGCTACTTAGTATTTAGTGGATTCAGTATATTTAGACTTGCATTTTTAGCTAGTAGTAAAATCAGTGTTGAAATTGAACAGATAACCAAAAGGTAGCCAAAGAGGTGCTGATGTTTGTGTGTATGTAGCTGTTAGATTAAGGTCCTACCTTGTGAAGATTCTTTACAAAACAAGAGAAAAAGGAAAAAAAAAAAAAACGGGCTCATACATCTGGTTTGGTTAATTTGATTCCTGTACCTTGTTCATCAGAAAGTTAATTATGTTGATCCACTGTTTTGTGACATAACCTGTTCACATGATAGTGATGATCCTGTGATCTGAAGAAGGAATAAGCACTGTCTGTTCCTCTGCTTGGTGTAAACTAACTGCTGGTTCATTCCAAATACTTACATTCATGTTTTCAAGCTGTTGTAGCATCAACTTTTGTTTAAAGCATGAATACAACACTGCTTTAACTATTATAAAGGAGTGTCTGCTGGTATGTAGGACTTGTTTAAGAAGAAAGAAAATATTATGAGTGGTAGGTGGTAAATATTTGTCTGGGGTCTTGAAACTCACAATCTAAATGTGTAAATTAAAAAAAAAAATGAAAAAATATAGTTTGATGTTTCTGTAAAAACAACAATAAAAAAGGGCCATTAACTTTTAATTTATTTCTTTATAATTTTATAGGTGATAAAGATATAGAGAGCTTCCAGCTTGAGATTAGTGGCTTTCTGAGAGAAATGGCTTGTCCGTATTCATCGCTTATATCTGGAGACATAAAAGACAGATTAAAAGAGAAAGAAGATTGTCTTAAACTCCTCTGTAAGTTAAGACCATTTTTGCCACTTAGTATACTACTATTTTACATGCATCTTTTATCATTATTCTACAATTTACATCAAATAGTTCTTTGTGTGTATTTTAGCTTATCTCTACAATCACTACAGCCTACCTGAGCATGCTCACTTGTGGAGGGGTGGAAATGGTAGAACTAATATTTCTCTGTGATGTATGGTTCAACCTACTGATGACTCCTGACAATTTCTTGATCCAATTCCAGCTCAGCTGAAACTGAGATTTTCCCTCTCTTGTTTCTGAGAGGTTTTGGGGCAGTTTGTAAGAACATGTGACATGCTTTGAAGGTGCTGAAAGCAGGATCGAGAGGAGTGAACTTGGACAAAGGAGCACCAGCTGAGACTAAGTGTGGAAAGAGATTACATTGAGAAATTGGTGGTGGCAAACACTTGGAATTTTCCAGGAAAAGAATGGAATAACATCAGGGATCAGTGTGACAATATGAAACTAGTCAAGGAACTAAGGGTCTGGGGAAGGAGGTATGTTAAGCAGTTAAGTATGGTGTACAGACAGGAAGTTATATGGAAGTCAGTTCAGGTAATGAATGAGAAACTGATACTGGCCTGTCTAGAAGAGGATTGAGAGTCTGTTTTATTGTTGTCTTCTTATCTGTATTATGAGAATGTGGGCGCAAAAAATTTTGAGTCCCTAAATATGCCATTATCTGCCATTTTTCTTTCTAGTATTTCTAAGTACAGAACTCCAAGCTTTGAAGATATTGCACAGCAAGAAGAGTAAAGGCTCTCATTTGGAAAAGCACAATGAAATTTATCAGGAAGTACAAGCTATTTGTGATGCACTGGGCCTGCCAAACTCATCACCTGATATTCCTCCCTTGTTAACCAAGGTGGAACAAAAGGTATGGGTTTTATGTTTTCTCTCTTGTTAACTCTTACTTCTGTAAGCATTCATATTAGTTGAGGGCCTAACAATATGATTCGTGAAGGCCCTATCCAACAAGTACAAAGGGATTTTTATTCTGGAAACCAGTTTAGTGTACAAGTTAAACTGTCTTAGTTGTGAGGTGAAATATTTGAGTGGTTCCCTCAGGATGAGATGTACCTGATGCACCTTGCCACGCAACCTTAGGGTATGAGTTGTAGGAACGCCTTCCTCCTACCTATTCAAATATATCAATCACAAAACTTTGGGTAATAACTGATTGCATGTTTACATACCTGTCGTTGTCAATTCTGAGACGTTTTCAAATTTAATGTGCAAAACTAAACTTCTTGCTCTTTGGTTTATGAATACCTTAATTGCAAGTATTGATTTGTTGGTGCCATTTCCTTAGTTTTAATTCAGGCATTTTTCAACCTATCTACTAAGTTAGCTAGTCAATATGCAGCCTCATACCTTATCCAACCTTATAGTTCTTTCAAATGTATCCCACCAGATTCTAACTCGTTTCACTGATGTGATGTTTAATTTGGATTCCTCACTGCAGATTATAAGTGCCACCCACCATCTTCTCTGTTAAAAGTTTGGCTCTTCATTTCTCCCTAGTATTTGGGAAGAGAATTGGTCCCCTCTTGAGTTATGAGAGATGCATGAAGCGAATTTCCCTCTGCTGCTCTCTGAATCTTTGAATTTAGTAATTTTTGCATGATGATCGATTTTTTTTTTTTTTCTCCCTCCTCATTGCTCAATGGGAAGTTGAACATTCAGAGGTTTTGGGGAGGGAGCCTGTTTTTTCCCGGATTTTCTTACAGATGTAGATCTTTATTGTGGCAAGACAGAACCTTTAATAGATTCATATATAAAAAGCAATATCCAGGTGGCAATGAAATTGTCTGCGTTCCCAAAGTGTCCCTGTACTTGATCTGTCTAGCTCATATGAAATCTTTAAATCTATTCTTTCCATTAAATATCTTTGAGGGGATGGAGAAACAATTCCATCACTGTTTTCTGAGGGTTAAAATGTCAGAGTTCCAGCTAGTAACTAGTTGATTAAAGCTGCCTAGTACTGTTGATCTTCCCCTGTGGGTGTTTACATCCAAGGGGCTTGTAGTCTCCAACAGGAACAACAAGGAAGACAGTGGCCTTCCTTGCACACTTCTTGGCTTCACTTCTTGGATACAGGCTTAGTTTCATGCCTTGTTAAAGGAATAACACTCTAATGCTGCAATAGCAGACATGGTGGGCCAGCTTTTCACACAAACGCCTAGAAAGTTGTCTTTGCATTACAAGGTTTTGCAAAGTCCAAGACTTCTTTCAGATAGGGTCACATGCTTGCACTGATATGTAGGGTGTTACTGTTAAACTGTTTATGTAAACTGTTAACAGTTTCATAAGTCCTGAAGCAGAAAAATCTTATAAGCATGTTCTCTCACTCTCCCTCCTTCCCGCTCTCTCCCTTCTCTCTCATATCACAAACTGCCTTGAGCTGTTTTTCAGTGTTTTCCAGGTCTGTCAATTTCACAGTGGTTATATAACTTATTTGCACTTCAGAGTGTAGAAAGGTGGCAAAACTAGTTCATTCATCTTCTCTGACTTCAGATTAATAGTGTAGTTTGTGCTCTGAAATGTTCTGGCCCCTTACAACTGAAGAACTTTTATTTTTCCTACTTCTCAGGAGATTTTGTACAATTTCTGCTGTATGTTTCATTGTCCTTCATCCCCTACTTTCATGTGGACAAGTTCCAAGTTGATTTTGATACAGTGCATATAGAGTTAAATGCCTATGTTTGTTGATGTAGCTGCATTAGCGTGGTGATGCCCCTGATTGAAATTCTTTGGCTTCGTAAACATCTTTTTCAGTACCATTTATAACTTTTTTAGATTCTCACAAAATTTCACTTGCAATGATCAATTTATTTTTCCAAATATTATGTTGCTCCTGATTTAATTAGGCTGTGTAAAATTGCACTGCTAACATGTAGTGTTATACTATATGATTTGTAACAGAAACTTACATACTAATCTAGCATTTTTATTGAATTTTAAAATGTATCTGCAGCATTTCAACGTGTCTACTCTTTGTCTCTGTCTAGCATCTTCAGCATTGTCAGTAGCTGTTGGAATAGTTCTGAGAATAGTTTGGCTGTGCAGCAGCAATCTACCAAAGGGACAGATCACACATTGTATTTTGGTATGACACGTTAGAATATTGATTGTTTTTAATAATTTGTCAGATTATTTAAAAGACTAGTATAAAATCAAGATCACCTTCTTCATTCAAACTATGAGTTTTGTTGTACATCAAACTGAATGTGCAATCATTGGAAGTACCTTTTAAATTTGCATCTCCTGTAATGAACTACGGCAGTGGTTACGCATATAAGAAAAATTGAGGGAAGAGTTGGTAGCATTACAGCCTCCTACTGCTTTATGTAATGTATTATATTCTATAGCATAGAAAAACTAATGGTCTTTTTTTCTGAGATTCCCTTGTGAAGTTTCCTTAGAAAGTATATTTATAAAACTTACCTCTGGGAGGCGTTCTGAAATTTGCTACTAGAAAGCCCATAACTTGTAAATGAACCTTGATCAAAGATTCAGAAAAGTTTCTGCCAGCATTATGCTACATGCTTATATCTAGCTTTTTCCAATCAAAATGGTGTGAATTTCACACCTAGTTACAAAGAAACTTTCTAATACTGTTTATTCCAAAAACCTCTTTACTACAAAAATATTCAAAATACTTTTTTTTTTTTTTACCATGTATTGCTTTGCATCATTTTTTCTTAGTTTTCTCATGTACAAAAAGGTAATCTCCTAACAGTCTACTGCAACAAAAGGAAACTGTAAAGAGTTACCTAAGAAATTAAATGGAAAGCAAGCTAAAATAGGCTTTACCTGAAATGTGAGGAGGCTATCTTTAAAAAAATATTTGGGAATATTTTCGATAATTTATTCATATTTAAGTTAGCGCTAGTGTTCAGTAATCGTACAGCCATAGTGGTGCCTGTGCATTAAATGTCAATATAGCTTCAGGGAACAAGACAGAAGAGTTGTCTGGTTCAAAGTCTTTGTGCCTAAACTTGTAGGCATTTAGCAGACATAAAGCTCAGGCAAAAATGTCTTTAAAATTAGATAAGTATTGAAAATAAAATGACATGTAAGTAAATGGAAGTCGGGTATTGTTTGGATTAACATGTTCTGTGCTCAAGAATTTAGGTGATCTTTCTGCAAATTAAGAAAATGTTCCTTCCTGTGTATCGATAGCGTTTTAACATAAATTCCTTTAATGACACTTCTTTACAGGTTATTTTTTAAAATATGAGAAACCCTGAAGTTGTGTGCATATATTGTTTCTCTGTGCAAATAGTGTTAAACATAAAAAGTATAGGTTTATTTTGACAGAGGGTAAAGATATTTTTTAAATATGTGGAACACTGAACCTGTATTGTGAGCTAATGTTTTTTTTTTTTTAAAGGAGCATAGACTTATAAAACAAATGAGAAATGTTCGATACATAAAGGTGTGCTTTATTTGGTAAAAAATAGAATAACTGTATGTTTTTATACAACAGAGTTTGGAGTCAAATCCCAATGCTTTTGTCTCAAACATCATAATTTTTTGAGTATATGAACTTCTAAATCAATCTTGTAAATATTTAATGTTATCAAGGAGTTTGATTACAATATATATTGAATAGTCAAATATATGCATCTCCCTTTAGCTTTTAATTAATTATTTTGCTTCTCATAACTAAGTGTGTGAGAGTTTTAGGATGACTTGGCTGGCACAGTTTGTTTTACATTTCTGTGAATATTTTCACTGCCCTTTTATCTGGACACTGCTTTTTGTATTGTTCACACTTACAAATGCATAATTTACACTTTTTATTTTTCTCCCCCAGAACTTCTGTTTATTCTCCTTAATGCAGGGCAACTATCATGGCTAGGACTGAGTTACAGCATAGATTCTTGTATCAGTTGTGCTTTTGTCCTCTGGTAGACAGGATATGTGCCAGAGACCTTATGCTCATAGCCCTGTTGGTCAAGGTTGGACAACATATTCTGAAACTATAAGGCAGCAAAGCTTATTTCACTCTTGTATTTGTAGGACGTGCACTCAGAGTACTGCTAAGTGAGGGAGTAAAGTATTAATGGAGATTCAGAAATCTGGATATGACTTTTCATTGTCTGTAAAACTCTGCAAGTAGATAACTTTATCTGTGGAACAAGTTTCTCCTTAACTTGATTCATTTTATCCAGTGACAATTATACTATCAATGTTTTTGTTTTTTTTTAACTCGGGGGGGGGGAGGGAAGGTTGCAGAATTTTGCAGTTTCCTAGCCAGTAAAGGCTAGTTTCACTTAGCTGCTCCTACTGCTTCTGATTGTGAGTTTCACTGATTTTCTTCTTTTATTGTTCCTCTGAACTTCCATTCATATTTCAGCTTACAGAAATCAGGGGTAGATGGTGCTGAGTTAGGTCTTTCAATTGTGATTCACTTGTCATGGCAGAATTTATTGTTTTTTGTGTGTGGAGCCCAGTGTTGTATTTACTTCTTAGCTGCCCTGGCAGCTGCAAGCTTGTAATAATTCTAATCTCCAGAGCATCTTCAGCATCTGTGCTTTCCAGGTTTTATTTCAATCTATAGCTACAGGTTATTGAGGTGTTATGTTGTTGTGTTTTTTGGCTTGTGGCTTTTGTCTTCTCCCAGAAGTCAGGCTCATTTTGTTAGATTTTCATCCTTTCAACTCATTAGGACCTTTGAGGATAATATATTTCTGACCTTAATGGCTACAAACGTCTTCACTAATAGAGCTTTTAATTCATGTGTTGTTTATTAGTATAGAAGTTCTGTAATAATTGCTGGTTTCTACATCTTTTTCTGTCATGCTGATCTTATGTTGATGATTATTACATTTCTTCTTGGCTCTTCAGGTATTTATTTAAATTAAAGCATAGTTTGTGCTAAAGCACATTTGAATTTTGAAGCAGATTGAGAGGCATCATGTACATGCTTCATTAGAATCAAAACAGGTTGGCTAGATTTACAGGATAGACAAGTCAGTCAGCCCTGGAGGGCTTTTTGCAAATAAAGCTTGCAAAGGTACAAGAATTTAAGAGAAAGAAGAGTGTGGGGGCAATACGGTACATGAAACAGAACTTCAACCCTTATCATAATCACTTCTTTTATATGGATGGAATCTAATAGCACAGGTGGTACTTCTAATTCATCACTTCATGCCATTTGTTCCTTCTTCTATATTAATTGATGATTTCTTCATCTCTTGCTGTCATGCTGATATTATATTGATTATTGTTCATTGACTACCACAGTGCTAGGTGGGCACTTCTCAGTGCCCACTATGCTAACTTAGTTAACTAGGTGCTCTAGAATTTGAGCAAGTTGACTTGTCTCCTGCAGTTACTGCACAGTGATCACTGCAGATGATATTTCTGTAATGTGTAGAACTCAAAACTCTGACAAAATGAGAAGGTAATACTAGAGAAGTTAGCACTGGACCTTACCTCTATTATAAATATTAATGTAAATGGCTGTACGCCTACACGAAGTCTTATAATCCTAGCAAATGTATCTAATGTCTCTCTTCAGCTATAGGTTTTATTGTAGGTCATGAATTGCCTTAGTCCTTCCTCGTGAAATGTTTAAAAAAGAAAAAAAAAAAAAAAGATATAGTTTTAGTCTTGTTTGACTTGATTCCACATGAAAGCAAGTGAAGATGTAGTTCTTCCAATCAGACCATGTCCAAAACTTCTTCCAATCAGACCGTGTCCAGGAACAGTAATATGCTGTTCTCTAGTAATCTACTACTGATTAAAAATCAGTTGGCCTGAAAGTTATGTAGGAGTGTTGTGACCATTTGTGGTAAGGTTTGTAGAAGAGTGTGTGGAAAAGAAAGCGTGTGCTGAAAGAAGTTCCTTGTCAGAAGCTTTTTGTCAGGAGAGAGGGGGATGCAGTGGAGTTTGGAAGTCAGAAAGAGAGGGCACACTTCATTCCCAAATACTGAAGGCAAAGCTAATGAAGAAGTATAAGGCAAGCTGGTTTGGAGTGAGTGCAAAAGTCTTAAACAATGTTAATTAGAACCAATAATAGGATTAGAAGGAAAGAAGTGAGAGAGCGACCTCATACCTATCATATCTCCTGCCTTCCTTACTGGCACCCATTGTCAGCTTTCTGTAGCCAGGTCTACTATTTGTCAGTGAACTCCCAGCTTTCAGTTGTTAATTTCCTTAGATGTAATTACAATGCTTAATGATGAGTAAACCCAGTAAATTTAATTAGTTGTATTGCCTGTGTGCACTTGATAAATTTGACATATAGATATTTTTCAATTAAAATTGGGAGGAGAAATGCTATGCCATATAGTCTTTTTATATAGAGGTTGATCATGTAGTGGAAGTATTCAGGAACTCTTCTTTTTGTAATGGATGATAATAAGGCAGAAGACATCTGTTTCTATGAGTCTGCTAAAACAAATGTGCTATAGTTGATCTTAGAATTGTAGCATATTTTTGCTGAAATAAATGTAAATATAAATTGTGTTCTGAAAAGAAGTATGTGTTTTGTTACAGATAAAGGACGTTCTCTCAAAAGTTCAAAAAAACCATGTGGGGAAGTCACTGCTAACAAAACCTCTGAATTCTGATCAAGTGGTAAAAAAAAAAAAAAAAAAGTCCCTCCATTTTGTTTTCTGTGTTTTGTGGGGTGGTCAAAATTAATTCTTATGGTTTTGTCTGTCTATTTTACAGTCACTCTTCTATTACTTAATATTCAATTACTAAATATTAATAATGCTAATCAGATACTTCCAGAATTAATGTTTTTAACAGACTTTGTCTTGATATATGTACATACTAACTTTTAAAATATTTCGTAAATACGTGCTACTGCAGCCCTACATATCTGCACCCCTAATTTTATGTCGTTTGTAGTGGTCACCAGAGAATAGTCATCTTATTTCCTGAGTGGGGTTAACTTTCAATTGATTTGTATATCTTTATTGAATTAATATTTGGACTTTTTATTGTAACACTGCAGGAAAGATTGGAAAAAATCAATGATGCTCTTCGCAGTGAGTATGAATGTCGCCGTCGTATGTTAATGAAGAGGCTAGATGTGACAGTGCAGTCTTTTGGCTGGTCCGATAGAGCAAAGGTAAGGTTGCTGTATTTTTTGCTTCCTGTAGGTGGGAGTCTGCTACAGTTCCATAGGTCTTGTTACCAAGTATATGTACTATGTAAATACACTTCCCTTACTGCAGTCTTCTTTCCAAGCAGTTTCTCATCCTGGATTGTAACATCCAAGTCGTAGGTAATGAGAAAACTGAAGGATTTGAGTAGGTGACACAGTCCATGTTTTGTGACTGTCTATAGCTTCATAAATACATATATTCTAGCATCCTTTGTTGGGGGTTTTCACTTTAAGTCCATACCTCCCTTTTTCTTTCCTATATCCGCCCCTCCAATCAAGTAAAGTAGGAGAAAACCTCAGCATTTCTCTGGAGATGCAGGAGGAAGACAAACACTAGGCCTTAACAGAGATTGGGTGCAGAGAGCGTCTTCCCACAAGGTCAGTGAGATTATTACAGTGACTGCTACCTATCTTGGGTGCAAAACAACTGAATAAACAAACGGTCAACTGAACAGCTGGTGTGAGAAAAGCCTTCAGATGGCTAAAACATCCAAACTATTGTTGGGGATTTTGTCTGCTGGTATTGTTTTAATCACAGTAATTTCATTGTGATATTTTCTAGCACTCTGTATATTAGAAAATAGACATGACTTAACCGGTCGGATATTTCTGAGCTAGAAATGTATATTGTTTCTATCCAGCAAAGTAAGAAGATACTAAAAGTTTGTAACTTGATGAATATATGTGTGGTAAGCTGAAGGCAGATATTTTTGCTCATGAGCTGCAAGATCAACTTTACTTCTAAGAGAAGGTTTGTGTAGAAATCTTAAGATTGATAAGTCTTAAAACTTCAAAAGCTTTCTGAAAGTGATATTATAGTTTGGCATAGATATGTGCAGACAGAGTCTGCTCACTAAATACCACTGAAAGACAAGAGTCTAGATTCTGCTTTGCTGCTTCAGAATGGCCCACTTTAATTTCTGCAGGGGTTATGAGTGCTTTTATGGTACAAGAGAGGAAAAGAGAGGGCATTTACCTCAAAATTATCAGGAGATTTCACTATGTGTAACTCTTATAACTGAACCAATGCAACTATAAATTTTCAAATTTAAGGTGTACTTTAAAGACGTAGTTGATGTTAACTGATAACTCAGAGTAAAATCTGATGTTTATTCCAAATGACATTAAAAAAGTGAATACTTTTATGATAAATCAAGTTTAATGAGATTTTTAATGATGCCAAAGCAGTAAGATTTCCTTTTCCTGTCTCAGAAAGACTGTTGATGCAAAATAGCATGCAGTTAGAAATAACCCCATTACATATTAAATCTGTGATGAAGATTTACACAAATTGACCTTCATTTAAAATTGCATATATTTTTTTGTACTTTTTCCCCTCATTTGTCATGTAAAATACTTGTTTAGTATGTCTCCAAAAACTTTGGGGGGATTCAAAATATTTTGGCATTGAAATAATTTTGATTTTTTTTTTTTTAAGCAATGAAGCAAGTTCTTGCCCTTTTTTAATTCATTAGCTAGCTTGCCTTCCCCTCCCTCTCCATTAAGTAGGTATTGATACCTGTCTCTGCTTTTGATGGTGTGTTTTGTTGTTTGTTTGTTTGTTTGTTTTTTGGAAGAGTGGTGGCAGTGTATTTTTATTTTTTTCTGTCCCCCAGGGGGCTAGTTTTTCAGATTGAAATGGATCCATAAATGATGATGTAATTGTCTAGCAAAACAGCAGTGACAAAGAACAGCACCTGTTGTCTGGTCCATCCAAGATCAAATGTTTATTTACTCTGAAGATCGCCTAATTGCTCACAGGAAGTGTAGTTATTTTTCATCTTTTGTTAAACAAGTAAACATCAAAGTAAATTTGGAAAAAAATCTAATTTTTTCCCCTTCTCAGTTTCACTTTTTCATGGCTTGCACAAGTGTTCTGCTTCATTGATGCAGATTTTCACAAATTGATCTGCATTTAAAGTTACTCCTTTTTCACATTTTGGAGTGATCTGTTAAATATGGCTATTTAAAGCACTGCTTCAGACAGCAGCATGGAGCCTAAAATTTAGTCTTAGATATGTTGCCAGTGGATACAGTTTCTGTTGTAATAAGTTCAGCATCAATTACACATAATCAACATGTCCTTGCACATCATCAGAGAACAGAACTGGTAACAACTGCCACCAAATTTTTCATACATCACACCTTGTACTCAAACTGCAATGTACTGAGACCATTGTGTGGCTTACAGTGTGTGTTTGTATTTGTATGCCTCACAAGTAAGTAACGTCTGTTTTTTATTGTTTAGGTAAAGACAGATGACATAGCACGCATCTATCAGCCCAAGCGCTACGCATTATCTCCAAAGTCAACTATAACATTAGCTCACCTTCTTGCTGCTCGAGAAGATTTATCAAAGATCATAAGAACAAGTAGTGGATCAACACGGGAAAAGACAGTCTGTGCGATCAACAAGGTAATGTTTCTTCCTGGGGTATGATAAAAGGATGTGGGAGTTTACAGACCCATCAAAAGTAATTCTGGAATTACACTCTTTGTTTAACATTTTTGTTCCTTTGTACAAGGTGGTTATAGCTGGTGCTTTTAACAAGAAAAGTTTGCAGCATTCCAATAAACACTACATAAAGTTCTTTTTTATCTTACTACACAGTCAGTTTTACAACCAGATTAAATAGTAATCTAGATGAGAAAGAACAGTGGAGGAAGTAGACAGAGTTCAGAAGTTACTTTTCCCTTCCTACTGAGTTGTTCTTTTCAAACAGCAGTCTCAGAAAGCAGGGCTACACTAGCCAGTTCTCAGGAAGACGCAATGCTTAATCTTTCTGGACAGCTTGGCCTGTCCTGCCTTTTCACAGCAGAATCTGCTGAGCTTTAATCTGCCCTCCGGCAGGGTCAAATGCACCATTCACAAATAAGATAAGATAAGAATCATCCATTTGCTTTGGTATCTGTATTTTCATAGGAAAGGGACTCCATTCAGCGTAAAATTATAGTAGTGGTTGTTTCTTTTTTCTTAGTCAACACAGAAACAGGATCACCTGAGAACTGTTAATTTTCCTTAGAGCTACTAGAGAGCAGGTAGAGTATACTTGGTAAAATAGGGGAAAGGAGGAAGGTTTGCTTCAAGTTGGTTTACACTTCATGTTAGGACTAGGGAGTAAATACAATACTTAACACAGCTGGATTCATTATTGATTGTTTTTTGTTGTTCTTTTTTGTTTGTTTCTATATTTGGCTTACAAACTTAGGTCCTTGAGTTCAATGGAACTGTACATCTCAAGTTAAGGATATATGTTAGTCTTTCTGGTATTGGTGCCTGGGCATTGGTGCCTGGGTATTGTCAAGCACAGTAATGAAAAAGTAAAACACAAGTTTTTTTTAGTTTCCTTTTGTTGTTGTTAACAAGCATCTTTAGTGTATCAGTACATTACAAACCTCAGAAGTTTCTGTGGAAGTGACATTTAATTATTCGGTAAAATTGTTTGGTTTGGCTGCTTGTAATAAATAAACATAGTACTGCCTTCTGGACTATAACAAAAGCTTGCAAATAACTATGTTAGTTCACTATTTCAATAGTGAATACTTCACTATTTAAATGGTGACTGTTTTCATTAATCCTTTATTTACAGACTTTCTTAAATGCTGTGCCCCATTTTGAAATCCTTTTAATTGTTTTGATCTCAAGAGTTCTGAAGTTTTATTTTACCATACAGGTTCTTATGGGGAGAGTACCTGATCGTGGAGGCAGACCAACAGAGATTGAACCACCACCTCCTGAAATGCCTCCGTGGCAGAAAAGACAAGAAGGTGGCGGAAGAGGTGGCTGGGGAGGTGGTGGTGGAAGGGGCGGCTGGGGTGGTGGAGGGGGTCGAGGAGGAGGAGGAGGTGGTGGTGGTGGTTTTGGAGGTGGGGGTTTCAGAGGTGGTGGAAGAGGTGGAGGTGGCTTCCAAGGTGGAGGTGGCTTCCAAGGTGGAGGTGGCAGGGGAGGTTATGGTGGCAGGGGTGGTTACGGAGATCCATATGGTGGAAGAGGAGGTGGAGGATACCGGCGATACTAAAAAAAAAAAACAAACAAAAAAAAAAAACAAAAAAAAACCTACAACAAACAACAAAAAACTGTAAATACTAAGAGTAACTGGCAAAATATAGTGGTGGTGTTTACTGGTAATCAGAAATTTAGCTATGGTACCTTTGGTTTAGGTTAGATTTAAGTATGACCATATGAATCATTGCTTTAGACCAACTGATGTTGTCATTGAATTCTTTTAGTTAACTGAACAGAAGTTTTATACTAAAATATTATGACTAGAATCCTTGTTTTTCGTACCGGTCATATTTTTTTTATGTCCTCTTATTTAAAATAAGCCTCAGAAAATTGAATAAAAACCTTTTTAAAGTAAAAATAATTTTTGATGTTCAGGCCTCTCTAATTATTGCATGTTGCATGTCCATTCCCTTGCTCCTAAAACTGTATAGTATGGAGAGAGAGGAGAAAAAACCAAAAAAAACAAACAAACAAACAAACAAAAAAAAAAAAACAAAAAAAAAAAACGGGCCTAAGAACCAGAGGGAAACACTTTCAGAAGAATGCTGCTTTCAGGCTTTTCTCTTCATCCAGTTTTCTTATCAGACATGTAGAAGAATTTAGATGTTAAAACCCGTAAGGCTTTGGTCAAAATTATTCATTTAGGTTTCTTATTATTCCAAAACTTGTCATAAAAGTAATATTCTGAATTACTTCTCTAGAGAAACTGATAAAATTAGGTAGCTTTGTGTGTTCATAAATATATTAGAGACCAATTGAAAGTCAAAGTTTGTACCATAAAATCAGAATAATGGTGACTTTTTTTAATGTTTATTATCATTTTACCTGTTTTCCATTTTATTGAGGTTTCATAAAAGTATTTTAAGATCAGATTGAGCTGGAAATGTCTGCAATTGTCATGTCCAGTGGGAGTTCATTCCTTTTGCATCAGCCTTTAAAAATAAAGGTTGAGTAAAGCTGAGCTTTCTGAGAAAGAACGTGCCATTTCTTCTTCTTTTCCATTTTTTTTTTCCCTCCCGCTTGGTAAGGTATCTCATACAAAAGTTGTTCTTCCCCATTGAGTTCTCTGGAAAAAGTGCAATTGCAATTTTCAAAGGCTTTTCTTCTCTTATTCTGCCAACCAAATGGTCTGATAACTTAAAAGAAATTCTGCCTTGATATGATATGGATATCTTCTTCACACACAGTGCTACTCTAGGAGAAGAGCATCTAGGTGAGGAGTTAGATTTTGTATAATTACGGCTGTAAATACATATAGGCAAGTTCACGGCTGTCAGTTAAAGAAGGCAATTTCTGTTGTCCAGCTTCTTGAGATCTCCCCTGTTATGATGCTACCTGAGTAGATGTGGAACAGGGAGACAATGCCCAAGTGTATATTCATGACAGTATTTATCAGGATCACATTACTGCAGAGAGATTCAGGAAGACATCTGATAAACCTGGGCATGTGTGTTGGCATAGCACAGAAACCTTCCAGCACTTCCACTGAATATATAACTTAGTCTTAACTGCAGGTTGAACTCTTAAGATTTGATTGTAGTTTATGTTCCACAGTTATGAGGTGTGGTTTTCTTGTTTTTTGTTTTTTCACAAATCTACTGTTGGTGTCTGTATTTGGTCTGCTTTCAAGTTGTTACCCTGTCTTCAGGGACACGTGCATCGTGTCCTCAGTTACAGAGGCAGATGTGCACGAATGTAAAGCTCTGTTTAAAATTGGGATTATCTATCACATCCTTTAAAAGCCTGTGTAAGATGTTATTAATTAGTCACCACCAACACGTTCAGTTGAAATCTTAGTCTAGATAACTTGAAAATTCCCTCCTGGAACTTCCCTGAATGCTTGTTCGAGTATGCTGCTTTATGATGGGACTGATGGAGTCTTATCCATACCTGGGGTCCTAGCAGGTGCCTACCAAAAAAGGGCAGTTTTCCTTGCTTGAACACATTGGCTTGGATGTAAACTTGGTGCAATGAGTTGACTCTGCTGGCTTAACTTCACCTACCTGCTAGCAGTATGGTTTCTTTTATCACTTTTTCCTATGCTCATTTCTGTTGTCAGTGTCTGCTGTCATTGCAGAGGTCTTCATGGGTCATGTGGAAACATGGCACTGGTTTACTTGCTTTTGAGCTTGATTTTTGCCTAGTGCTATAGAACGGCTCGCAAGTTCATGACATTCTGGGTGAGTCTACTGGCCTTGGACTTGAGAAGTATTGATCAGCAAGGGAGTGGAAAGAGTAAGTTTTAACAAAAAAAGCCTTAATTTTAAGTTTTGTTTCCTCATTCCAGTGATGTTGTTTCTGTTACAAGTAATTTCTGAACTGCAGCCAAGCATTTAGTAATATCAAGGAAATTCGGGTGGTTTGTCTCGACATAAAAATTTCATCAGTCAAGATCTGAAATTGCACCGGTTTAGTTGAACTGTTTTAACTGTGTATGTGGATGTGTCTTGGTGCTTTTATGCTCACCAGTTCATATAGTTTGTAACAGGGAAGGCAGTTTGGAATGAAATAGACCGTCAGGTAAACCAGCTGTGTGCCCACATCCAATTCTAGCAGTTAAGTATGCCAATATCTTAGTTCAATTGTATTGATGTGGGCCATGTAGAAGACAATAGTTTAAATAGGAGGAAGTTTTGTTGGAGATTTTTTTAATTCAAGCAATTTCATTTTTTTCTTGAATAATTCCAAAATGCGAAGGCAGTAGTAGAAAAGTAATGTAAGCACCACCACCTTTCATAAAGGTATCCTTTTCTCAGTTTCGTTTGCTGTCAGAATGTATGTTTTTATCAAAAGATACAAAGATACAATAATATCATTAAAATAATTTTAAGAAGAGGTTTAAATCAATTTTCTGTTTCAGTCCTGACAAAAAGTATTGTCAGAACAAAAATTCTGTTGTAATTTTTTTTCATATATATGTTTGTAAGCATTTTTGTGTTTTAGTGAATGGGTTTGGTTGCTTGAGAATTGGGAAAAAAAAAAATTTGTGTCAGGTTTTGAGACTTTTGTTAACAGCTGTAAACACTGAGGAATAAAGTACTGTATTTGAAGTTACTTGCATGACTGTATTTGAAATTACTTGCATCACTGTAGTGTGATTTGGATTCTCTATCCCATAGTGCTTCTGTGTTTGTAAGGAAGAATTCCAGCTGGTGATTTGCAGTAATGATGAAACTTGCTTTTTATGATCATGACCAAAATAGACAAGGCAGATAACAATACAGGAAAATTTCACCGGACAGGACAGATTCCAGATGCATCCCAAATGTATTGTTTCATTTGAAAGCATCGGTGTCCAAAAGAATTGGACAAAAAGCATAGGTCTACATGACTGTTACTACTGTCTTTATGTAAATTAAGGAAATAACTTCTAATCACTTGTGAAGCTTTCAATTTTTAACTTCTGTAATTCTGAAACAAAACAGAACTTACCTCCCCGTCAGATATTTTGATGTTCAATACCTCACATAAAAAATGCCTTTAAGATACAGTATTTTGAGTTTTGCTGTAAGGTAAATAGCAAATTTTCAGGGTGCTGTGATGCTTTCTGTGTAATAGCCAGCCTTAGTAGAAAGGTTCTTTATCATGCTGTTAAATCTATTCAGAATTAGTAGAAGATTGTGCTTTGCAATACTTGGAACATTAGAGTGGCAGAAAGTGTCTGCAGCGTCTCAACCACTAAAATACTGAAAGAATAATCTGCACAGGCCTAGCTTCCTGAGCATTCTCAATATTCTCAGGTGCTAGAGAGAGTAGAGACTCAGACACTAGGTTAGTCCAGCAGAAGTGTCACAGATAACAGAATCAAGGAAAATCAGTTTAGGTTAAGATTTTTCAGATACAAACACAGAGGTAATGTACAATTTTAATATTTTTTCTGTTATAAATATTAAACCAAAATCTTACACTTATATATAAAATCTTTACAATCTGTACACTTTTTCAATCTTCTTTAATATCATTAAAACAAAAACTTTTCAAGTTGCTGTAGAGATCAGGTACAACAGAATAACAGACTGCTTCTATAATAAAGAATTCCATAAGGTAGCTTTGTTATTTTCAAAAGCTACTTTAAATGCAGTTGTCTTTAATTTGAATATTAAAAGTAGCTCTGCCATTTTAATTTTCATATTATTCAGTCTACTTTATCTTTAGAAGATCAGAATTTATACTTAAAAATAAACAGTAGTTGTGGCAGGGGTGTTCATTTTTTCTTCCTTCCTTTACTTACATGAAACACAGCTGAGTCTGGTGAGAGCATAAAGGTAAGTGCTTTTCATTTTTATTAACAAGATAAATGGTAAGTGGTGTTCAATATCACTGTTTGCTGATAAGACTTAAACAGCATTTTGTAGTTTAACTCTCTTTTTTTCCTAGCATAGAGCATTAAGATTAACAGAGATGCATGTAATGTTTGCTCATAGCTCAGTCTGTTTTAGCAGTATCCCAGTACAGTCTGTTTTTGCTATTAGCACAAGTCTTTCATGCATCAAAATTGAAGTTCCAAAAGTAATAAGAAGGAACTATCACCAAAACAGAACAAAACAGACAAAAAACATTGTAAAGGGATTTTGGCAAACAAAGAACCTGAAGATAGTTGAGCTCTCAAGTTTTCCAGGTATCAACCAAGTCATTTGAAACAGGAAGCTTTCAGCACACATGAAGCACCACTTGTGATGTGTGATGTTCCTGCAAATAGGTGTTGTAAATCATTCAAACTGTTTGTAGGAACAATAGGATGACAAAGAGAAACGTTAACACTTACAAATATGGTCTTAACTCAATTTTAAGCATTTAGTACTAAAAAAAACCCTTAGTACTCTAACATAATAATGCTGGTCTTTGGGCCAGCTGTTGACATTAGGTTGTCTACTTTGGAGAGGGAGGGAAGGAAATGAACAAAGTATATATATGTATATACACATACAGATATTTTTTAGAATCCAGAGTTCAGAGCATAAGCAAGCAGTTAGCTGCACAACAGGATTTACCAGTCTTTGTTGCTCTTTTTAGCTATTTTCCAAATACATGAAAATATATTCAGTATTTATCCTGTTTTATTTGTTGCAGAAGTAGACTTTTGTTTGCTAAACGCATATCAGAAGTTCTTGCTGTAGTCCTGCATAGAGGACAAATATCAAGAAGCTTACAGAAAATTGGCAAAGCAAATTTACAAACATGATCTGAAAGCCATTTCGACTGCTTCACTAATCAAAGTGCAATTACGTGTTAACTGTTAATAATTCAGGTTTAGTGTATGAGGAACAAAATTTGCACAGTCTTCACAGCTGCTATATGCATTTCAATTCTTTACATACCATATTTATTTACAGTAAATAACAAACTCCATTACTACTACTGTTTCCTTCCAGTCATGGAGGTACAAGCACAATCCAAATGCTAAACAAGGATTTAGAACCAGTAAACTTCAAAGTAGTTTCCAATGTTTGTTGTTTTTTTTTAAAAACAATAATTAAACCATTCATATACTTGACAATTAATGACTGTAAACTAGAGATAGAACATACACTTAACGCCACTTTGAACACAAAGCACGCATGCTATTATAATGGGTCAACTAAAAATTCAATCTATAATGGAGTTTGTAAAGTAACTTGCAAGTTTTGACAAACATTAAGTATAATTTATTAGTAAATATATTAATTTTAACTTTCTGCTGTTTACATGTTTGATGAGAAATGCCTGCTTGATAAATGCAAGTGAGTTTTATACAGCTGTAAGTGTAAGAATTACCTTGAAATGCAAATGCAATTTTAAAATTGACTATTTTGACAAATATACCAGTAACTTGAAAGACTGTTTTGTCATCTTTTGCCAGTATGAACACTTAATAGCATTAAGAAAACTAAGTTAACTCCCTAGCACCTTTTGCTATACAAAATTTATACACATGAGAGCATGGTCATCTTGACTCTTTATCTAAAGTGCATGTGAAAACTATGAGAAAGATAATGGAGAAATCCTGGTTAGAGCTGTAAGATGTTAGAAGCTCTGAAATACATTATCTGTTGCACTGGGATTACTATACAGTTTCCCTCATAATATGGCCTTTGAGGTTTTACTCAGATGTTGCAACACTGGTGTCATTTGACATTATAAGAAAAATAATCAACTTTGTCCCATATTTATGGTAAAGGAACAGCAAGCTATCCTTTAAGCTGAATAAGTAGGGCTCATTTCCACGAAAGTGGAAGCAGTGTTCACTCTAAACTCTCAAGTCATATATTACCTTAACAAAGGTAAGCATTTGAGCAGCAGGACTACAAAGCTCTGAAGGAGTTTTAAAACATCTGTCAGTTTATCCTAACAAAGCCTAAAGAATCAAGTAATCAAATATCATTAGCTTTACTTATTTTAATATTTTTGCTAAACTTCAGAAATATAAGTCACAGTCCATGTAATGATTTTAATTGTTTTCAGACACAATGAGAAGGAACTCTCTCTCAATGAAATATTTCTGCAGTTTTACTTAAATGCTTAGCTTTATGGACCATGTTTCTACAAACCTGAATTTGGACCAAATCTGACGTGACAGTCTTATGAATAGCTATGTTGTCAGAACACTTGTAGAGTAATATGTGCTGCCTGCAGCCAACTCACTGTGGAATCCATCATGAACATAAACTTCAGGAACAGTGTTGCTCCTTTTAAAAGCAATCCCAGAAGATTGGATTTTCATTGTGCAGATGGTGCTAAATTACCTTAAAAATGTCAAAGGTATTCATTGATACACTTGAAAGTGTATTTCTAATACAGAAGTGTACAGAGTAGAGAGCATTTCCATTTAAAATCCTTTGGACTAGCTCTCCAGATCACTTGGTAAAGCAGCTTTGTCACACCTTCAGTCTTTCATTCTTCCATAGGGATCTTCCCCTTTTCTGCTAGGAGCAGTCTCTGTGCTGTAGGTCATCAACTACATGATTTCTTCTCTGGATTGTAAGAGATTCGATTGTTTTATGTGCCTGCTCCAGCTGGATCTTTAAACCTTCATTGTCTGCCTTTAGAATATTTCTTTCCTAGACAAACAAACAAGAAAATAGAGAATGCGTTTTGATTTTAAATCTGTTTCAGGATTGTCTGGTTGTATATTTAGGTTGATTGGCTTAAACATAAGTTGAAGGTGTCTCTTAACGATAGAAAAGATAGTGCATGTAAGCTAGTAACATTAAAAGGATGAGACATGTTAGCTAACAAGCAGTTAATGTATTAAGACTTAATCATTTGCAAATCATATATGTATGCATATATACACAAAGCTATCTATAAGATGTGTTATCAGTCATTAACAAGAAGTTCCTCTTACAATCCAAGGCAGAGTCTAAATTAACATGTTTTAGAAATGTCTCTTTACAGTGCTTGATTACATAGTGAGAATCAAGACATGCAAGACATAACAGTAGACACTACAAATTTTGGAGCTTGTACACAGAGCTAATTTACCAGCATTGTAATCCATGAGGAAAAAAATACAGAAAACTTCTACGCATTGTTCAGAACAGTCGTCTCCAAGGCAGGCTGGGATATTTACTTTTTTTTTTTTTAATTTTAAGAAAACGTTAAAGCTGTGAACAGATTTTTAATTCCTTGTTTAGTAATAGCTGATGTGCATCTCACTGTATGCTTTCTGTTTATTCTATATTCTCTGTACTTCTAGGATTATTTTTTTTGACTAACATTGTTGTCTTAAACTTGTAGTAGAAGTCAGATTTTCTTTAGCCATAAATATTTTTGTTAAGGTAAGTGTTAAACTGGTTTCAATGTAATGCCTTACATAAATAGTATCCTGTCAAAGTTATGTTAAAACACTAATTCAAGTTTCCCAGTCTTGTATTACATGTGCAGAAGGCTGTTCCTTAAAATAACTTATTTTGTGGAGTAACATCCTGTCCTAAGCAATTGGATTACAGTCACATTCTTACTTGTCACTTTTAAGGCTACAGGGATGAACGTAACCATAACAAAGGCTTCAAAATATATTCCCTAAGCTCTGTACCACTACTAAAATTTACATTTGAAGTGAAACATCACTGATG